TGAAAAATGATGTCATACTATTGAGAAAGAAACTTCAAGAATGGCATGAGTATCTGTCAGCACTGACGCTAATGTCTGATAATGTAGACCCGAGACATCTCGATTGATTTGACCGTGGAATGGTAATGGTATAACTCTGCCAGACAAAATCCAACTGTGTAACCTACAAAGCCATGCTGTTATTTTCCACTGACACAATAGACAAACAAACGTTATATTAACCTAGCTAAAAAATAATACAACGCAACACATTGATGACAAAACGATCAAAATATCAAGGTCAGTGGAGTTGAATTATGAGTTACATCTGCACCTGATGATAGTGGGCCACTGGTAAGAAGCTTCATGTCCCACACACGTGTGTTCAGTGACTGATGAGGCTAACAGTGAGGGCTTCTTAGGATACTTACAAGGTTCTAGCATTACACACCGTGTGGAAATTTCATACATATACATGACATACGAGTGAACGTAACAACGCACATAGATTATATTACTCATGTGCATTAAGATCGCATTTAATATCATATATACAAATATGAAATTTTGGAGCTCGATCATCACAGGTTGTCGTACAAAGGCATTGAGAACTGTTCATTGGCCACAAGTTTGCACTGAGCTTAGTATCTCAAGTGACCGCCCTGGGCAGCAATCACGGCTCTGCATCGCCGCTGCACTGACTAGATGAATGTACGAATTCCGTCCTGCGGAATTTTGCGCCATTCTGCTTGTAATGCGTTGGCCCGTTGTGGGAGTGGCTGCAGCGTGTTCTGACGTTGATGAACCCTTCGATCAAGTTCATCCCATAGGTGTTAGATTGTGCAACGGCAAGACGTTGTTGTTGGCATAATGAAGGTATCTACTCAGTCGTGTTGAAACAGCTCCTTCTGACGGTCAATGATTGGAATAAGGTGAGGTTGAAGAATTTGATTCTTGTAGCGATTTGCTGTCAAATGTCCATGAACCACAACCAAGTCAGATCTCCTGGTGTTAGATATGGCGCCCTCCACCGAGACACCATCGCCATCGAAATTGTCGAATTCGCGTACACAATGGTGGGCAAAGTGTTCATTTCGACGACATAAACACGTTGTCTTCCATCTCGCCGGTGAAGAAGAAGAGGTTGTGATTCATCACAAAACCACACTTGTCTCAATTTTCTAAAATTCCAAGGCTGTAAGGTATGGCACTAACGCAAACGTCTCTGTCCATGGATCGATCTGTCAACCTGTTGAAAAACAGGGATGGTAACTGGTCTTCTGGGTCGGATTCCAGCCTCGAAAAGATTGTTCCTGACAGTCTGGTCCGATATCCTCCTCAAACCAGGGATGCGTCCTGCAGACTCCGTAACTGTGGCATTGCGATGACGTTTGTGGAAGAGTCGAATGTACCGATTCTGTGCAGGGGTAGTAACTCTTGGTCGGCCAGTTCTCTGACGGTCTGCAGTGGAAATGAACTGTGTGTATTGGTCCCGAAGGCGGCAAATGGCGCTGTGGTGGACGTTGAAGTGGCATGCAACAGAAGACTGTGATACTCCTCTTTGGATACGTCCTTTGGCGATGTTCCGATCGGCAGCGCTGAGTCTGGCTTATGCTTGCCGTTTTTTTAGGCACTACAACTACTTACGAATGCCATACCTTGCACGTGCATTTTGCTTTACTGTTTTCCTCCATGACATTTTTTTAAAACAATGCTGTTTAACTTATTGCAAATTGACAGTGGCTGCGTTTTGACGGACCATTTGTCGAATATCAGGCCAACAACATTATCCAAATCAGATATACCGGATCTTTTGTGTAGTCAGGTTCAACTACATGTGCTTTTCTTTTTTTTGAAGAGTGTATGTCATAACAGAGGAAGAGAAGGTTTGGGCTTCCTCTTGAAAGTGCTAAAATAACAACTGTTGATTACTAAACAGAGATTGTTTTATGATAAAAAAAACATTGAATATTAATTTATTTGGTCTCTTATTCTGAACTGTTAAGAAAAACGTTTATCAAAAACATGATGACAAGGTAATGAGCCTGTTGAATGTTACCCTGTGAGGTCTGTAACATCTGTCACGCATTTGATGCTAATTAATTACAGGTTCACCCATTTCCATTTTCCAACTTTTAGGAAAATATTTCGTTTCTCTCTTAATCCAATCTTTCATGCAAACATATACTTTGTTAGATATTTATATAATCCATACAAAAAACCTAATGTTCATTCATTAAGTTATTGGTGGGTGGAGGGGACAGTCCCTAGGATAAGTATGCTATAAAACACAAACATATGTAAAATGTGACAGATTTTGATAATATAAATATCAAAATTCATCACCACTTGCCAAGTTCACTGAAATGTCACCAGTTGGAGGTTGTCACAGATATATACGGATTCTAACCAAGTCAGATCTTCTTTTACAAAGATGCATGAACAGGTGGAGCAACTTCTATCCATCAGAATTTCACACTGAGGAAGAAGGGGCTAAAATCTGGTATATATTCTGTGTGCATGGTGTTAAGTATTCATTGATAATAAAATGTTACCTTTGGCAAGATACTCAGCAGGATCATTTGGGCCATTGTAAAAATATGAGTATTTTATTATAGAGTCTTATGCAATAGAGGATTATAAAAAGAGAGGATTATATTATAGAGTATTACAGATTTCATTTAAATTTACATTTAAATTTACATTTAAACAAACAAACACACAAACTGAAAGACACACAGAGACAAACACAAACACACACACACACACACACACACACATGCACACGCACACGCACACACGCACACACACACATTCACGCACACACCTGAAAGCATATTTACTTGTATCATGGACCTAAATAGCCGATGACGAAAATATTACGTTGACATGTACTAGCCACGCTACAATAATTATGACTTTCGACAAGTCCAGGTATGGCATTTATGAAATACCTATCATTCTCTGTCAACTAAGGTTCGTTTCATGTCGATCATAGCCAAATTGGAATTACTAGTATATTTTTGGTTTCCTTATATTTTATGCTAAACTATCTTTGGAGTATCAATAATACATTATTAAACTACATTTCAAGAAAAAAAATGCATGCGCGTGGATATTGGTATTAAAAGTTTTAGATTTCTCAACTGTTTTGAAAATAAAATATGTATGACTTTTTACAGGCCTAACTTGGGGTTGTGATAAAAAAAAGCCCTAAATTAGGTTGCAGAAACATTAATATTCAGAGACTTATACCTCGTTATTAGATAAGAATATCAATAATGTTTTATCACATACTTGTAAAGTGAACCGATTTTCTTCTCAACCTTCTCACTGAAGACTTTAGTGGGTAATTAATAGCGATAGCGACCTACAATTAGCAAATAACACACGATTTAACTTGTCCGCCCTCTTGAACGTAGGGCGCAGACAATGCCGCGGCGTGCCACTGCGAATGTCCCCTGCCAAGGAGGATAAACATTCTACGATAGCGGTTCTTTTCCATCTTAGTTCGATTCGTGATAAGATTCGCCTAGGGTAGCCAAATGCCGTGGATAAACGTATCAAGGAGATTCCCAGGAACATGGGGGCTTTTCGTCGACGGGAATATTCACATGGGGGTTAAAATGTCATCAAACTGGACAGTATTGGTATTTGTCTGACTGTGGCGGAAACAACGCTTACTTGTATGGTGAATTAAATGTTAATCCCAATTGCCCTTGATGCATGAAATATATCTTTAAAGACGGTGACATAATAACTACTGCTTTATGTAAGTTTTAGTTATCTTAAACCAGGGACAAACAGTTAAAGTTTACAGATGTGTTTGGTTTTAACACATCCACAAAGTCAACTGAGGCTGAAGAGAAGCATGTTCCTGACTATTGAAAATATAGTACATATGCCATTAATCTTATGAACAGCTTCTGACAGAACTCGGGACTTTCATCTATACGCTCTTTAAAAGGCCACAATCAGATCAATATTTGCATGCTACCCAGGTTGTGAGCTAGATTAACATTAAGTAACTGAAATACACTGTAATAGAAACAAACGATTGTAGTTAAATTGGAAAAGACCCAAGTGATATGGGAGATTCAGACTTTTGAACAATCCAGACTTGCTTCATCGGGGACAATTTCATTTCTATAAGGGCGGGGCGGACGTTCAGTAAAATGGTATGATACTAGGACAAACATTACTGGTTCTGAGCATATATCTTCAGAACTCGTGAACGTTATTATCTGTCTCCGTTAAGGCGAACCGTTCCAACAAATATAGCTGTATGTAAATCGTTTGCGCATCTGCCATTACCATTTGTGAAAACACACATTTATTTTGTAGGCTAAAAGTTCGGATACTGACAGTGATAAAACTAACATATGTGGTGATTATTACCAAGGATGGTGACACTGTCATACGAAAGAACTAAAGACCTAAATGTTTTCGTTGCTATTTTGCATGATAAATGTTTTTTTTTATTTTATATATTTTGTTTTATCAATTTTTAGAAGTTCTATTTTATCCCATTAAATCACCTTACAAAGTATCAACCGGCATGGCAGCAAATCCCTTGTGCTAAAACTGTCGATCCTGGTTACGTTATTTAATGCGCGTTACAGCTTCCAGCAGTTGCGACGTTACATCAAATACGTGCTGTAAACAATTCATGGAATAGGGAATGCACAGAAGGGAAACGTTGAGTAAGGTATTGTAAACTCCGTCCTGTAACACAACAGGCAAGACCTGATCAATGAAAGCCGAGAACGAGCAATACCGGTATACGCTGGTTTACGCTGAAAAGGGAGGAGCTTGATAAAATCGTCCATTGGCATTAATGCCCATGTCAAATAACAACCTTATTTGGACAGAAATACGAAATTTAGAAGGCGTCATATAAACGTCGGGGTTTTTCCAATGACCATATACGGAAAACTACCACGCCAAGCTATTTCAGAGGCTACACATGTTACACATCAACCATATAAAACCATTCCGTTACTTGCAGCAGCACCAAACTGGGTACAACTCTTGACAATGGAGAAGGTAAGTTGTTTTCTGTATGTTATAAAGTTCTATGTAAGGCTCACTAACATATATTCTGCAGGGGAACCTTTTACAGGGGAGTATTTAAGGAAACCCTGAGCCTAGACCTGGAAAGGGGATGAGTATAGGCTACTACAGTGGAGAAAGGTTAATAGTGGAATAGAGGTGAATGTTTTATAAAATATATGTTCTGGGATCTGTACGAGACACAATGTTTACCGTTACCCACATACTTAAAATTTATACTTTGACTTTAATTTCGAATCACCTTTCCTCACTCAACACATTGAGAGTTTCTTAACATTGCAGATTTTATTTTTACCTAGATGCCTATCTGCTGTAATTTTTTCAGTGGAATTTGTCCAAACCTGACTTTAACTAATCCGTATCCCCACTAAATTAACGGCCCCGAATTAACTTAACTGCCAGGCTAAAGAAAGTACACACCCTTGTTTGTGTGACGTAAATGAAACAAACAAGAAATGGATATAGTCGATGGGGGTGTATTTGATACGGGTAACATAGTCGTGTTTCGGGCCTTAAGTTGTCAGTGTTTTGACAACTTTATTTTCAGCCAGGTAACGTATTGATAACGTTTGTAATCCAATTTTAAGTGTTACCTTCTTTTGCCGGATAGCTAACCTTCAATGATCACGAACTGAAATATGCCTGATGCGGACTTCTTTTACTCTTAATTACTGATTGAAATTGTGGAACAATGTATTATCGCTCGCAAACTCGGAATTAATGTTTACACTCCGTCGCACATCCGGTAGGCTGCTTGTCAATATAGATTGAAGTCGACAGATGCCTAGACTCAAATGTAGCATTATATTACGGTTAATGACTAATAGAGGAAATTAACTCTTTGTCAAATCACATGTACTCCAATTTGTTTTATTTCTATCTGCTTGTTGGACTATATACCTACTTGTTAGCATATATACCTACTTGTTGGAATATATACCTGCTTGGTGGAACAAATACCTGCTTGTTGGAATAAATGCCTACTTGTTGGAATGTATACCTGCTTGGTGGAACAAATACCTGCTTGTTGGAATATATACGTACTTGCTGGAAAATATAAACCCTTCCAAAAAAGAAACGCATAATTAAAAAATAAGGATATTTATTAAGCGGATGTAAATGTTTCTACACAGAATATGCGTGAACACAATCAAATGAAATTAGACACAGTGATCGACACAAGCATTGTCGTCATTGTCAGCATTAATTCAGATCAGTCATTGCACATGTGTAGCACGTTCATGTCGACGTCGCTACACACGTTTTCTTCCATCCCTTCGTTGAAGAGGAAAACGTGACTCATCGCTGAACCAAACGCGTCGCCAGTTCCTGAGATCCCATACCTGTACTCTGTTGCAACACCGGACACGTCGTTGACGGTGTATACGTCGCAAGACAGGTCCAACTTTTGGTCGTCTCGCTCGAATTCCCACTTCCCTCAGACAGTTTCTGATGGTTTGGTCGGAAATTCTTCACATACCAGACACTTGTCCTGCAGTATCCGTTGCTGTAGCAAATCGATTCCGAAGGTGATGCAACCGGATGTACCGACCCTGAGTAGGGGTGGTCACTCTTGGTCTTCCACTCCTGGGATGATCTTTAGTCGAATTAGTGCGGGTATATCGATCCCATAGTCGGGCTTTGGTGAACGTTGAAGTGTCTTGCAACGGCAGACTGGGACTCCCCTGCTTCCAAACGTCTAGTGGCGATATTTCGGTCAGCTGCAGTTAATCTTGGCATTTTTCGATCTCTCTTCACGTCAGATAATTTGTAATCAATTGATGAATTGTGTACGGTTCTTTATAGTCAGTGTCTCTACTCTTGTTTCCAACATTTTGCACGTGCATTGTGCCTAAAATCGTTTCTGAAAGCAATGTCCGTGCATCCTTTGCATTTTTGCTGATAAACATTTACCAAAAATACATTTTGAGATGTGTTTGCGCGCAATGCACAACAAACATGATATGACTAACGGGAATCAAACATAAACATTGTCTTAATGACGATTGCTGGAAAAAAAATCTAATTGGAATTCTCTTTTTTTGAAGAGTGTACCTACTTTTTTGAATATATACCTACTTTTTGGCATATGTACCTGCTTCTTCAAAATCATAATTTATGGATAACAACTTATTTAATACTGTAAAGGTGACGTTTCCGTATAGATCCTTATACCGTTGTCAAGCAAGACTGAATGAGGGACATAGTACAGAATATATATGATTAACAGTAACAACAATTGCATACATGAGTGGGATAACATGAATGAGTAATCATGATCATGAACTGAGGGGCAACAGAAACGGTGGTCATCAGCTGATTTCTTTTTATGTTTGATTTAAAATTGAAAATATCTGAAGTTAGCGATATTATATAAAAAAAGGAACTGTACTGATGCATTATCAGCGCCGAAAGAATACTTGGAAATGGTTATATTTTAAAAAGTATAACTTAATATAAACCTTTGAAAACTTAAAAAAAATAATTCGCATAATATACAACTGCTGATGGGTATCTTAGATAAATTATCTTTGAAAATAAATATATTAAGATTAGTCGGCTCAAATGTACAACATGTCAAACCTGGTAGGGGTCATGTGGTTGCAAAATCATTTCGTAGCCTTGTCGTCAATATGATTTTACACAAAATACACAGCCACAGATTACATTTTACAAACTGTTGGTTAAATAGACATAATCAACTTTGACAAATTTTCAATTACATAGAAAACACTTTTGCCGTCAGTTAATGTGTTATATATCTTTTTGGTTCGTATTTTCATATGATACCGATGCTGAGAATTGATAGAAAATAAATCTCACCACTTATGTCAACCATAGGTTTGCCTGCCTCGATTTTCTTATAAAATATAATTGCTATTATTTTAAAGCCGACTTTCAATTCTTTTAAATGTTGATTTTTGAAGGATCCGATAATACTGCTGCTTCTCCTGTTGATTTGTTACTCGTGCTACAGCAAGGGTAAGTTTGTTACTGTCGCTCACTCGTATCGAATATCTCTTGCCCTATTAACACTTCACGTGTGATTCTATGGAATAACCAACACCAATTAGTTTGAATAAAATCATTAGATCATCAAAGTAAGTTGGGTACGAAATATTGGCGTCCACATATTGAATCAGACGTGATCAAAGATCCGCATTATTATGATAAATGAATGTTATTTAGACCTGCTGCAATATCCCCATATCGAAACAACAACCGGATTCAAACCTCTTGAACGCTTTCAGGTGTCATCATTGGTGTGAGGAAATATGTGAAGTTTCAGCTACATCGATCACGTGGTTTCTGAAGAGAAGAACATTACGATGGCAATCTCATTAAAACATATCTAAGTTCTCGCTGCCGCAAAACAAAGATCTGAGGATATCCCATTATAGGGCACATCAGAACGAACTTGCGCGAACTTTGACCAACGACTAAAATGACTAACAAGAAGTCGACATCAGTCAATTAGAAAGCAGCTTTCTCGAGCTTTACGGCACTCGTTTCAACCTGGCGACTTCAATTTCTGTCTACGCATGAAAAATATAATGACGCAGTTCTCGATTAACATTTCTAAAACTAAACAAGCGATCATTTTGGGATGTCTAATATATATGGTTGAGAGTGTATGGTGCTGTGCAACGTCTCCTCCGTTCAAATGTTAGTAGTTGATGGCTTCTAAATGGTCGGTTTCTGTGATTACGTTACTTCCGGTGTCGGTTTGACGACATCAGAGGTCACGTGACCTGCGCAGGGCATTGTGGGTTATGCGCGCTCATCCAAGATGGCGTCACTTCCGTTTCCGGTGGCGCGCGCATCCAACATGGCGGCATTTTCGTTTCCGGGAGGCGTGCGCCTCCAAGAGGGCGGCACGTCGGTGTCATCTCCCCATCCCAGATGGCGGCTCGGCGCCGCAAAGAGGGTGGGAGGAGAGAGAGCGGAAAGGCGGGAGGAGGGAGCAGTTTTTTTGTTTGTTTTTCTTTGGGGGGGGGGGGGGGGGGGGGGGGGGGAAGAGGGAGGAGGGTTCTTTGTTTTGGTTTGAGGGTAGTCAATGCAATGGATCAACGCGTTCTTTATGATGGGTGGCCCTGAAAAGGGGCGTTGGTGTGGCAGGGTTTGTGTGGAGATGGCGTGTGGAGATGATAGATCACTCAGACGAGCTTATACACTCTCGATGACCCAGCAACTTTGTTGCTAGGCTGACGTCACATCGGCGAAGGATCTTGCAACAAAATTTCACAAATCATGTCATCGGGTATGATGATGTGATTGTAAACTTTGAGGTGCAAGGTCTCGTTCCACAAGGCGATCGTATTGTAGCGCAATGAGTCGTTCGTCTAAGTGAAAGTAGGTGAGCGGCGATCACCTTAGCGCTACGATGGTGTTGTGGAACGGACGACTGAATTCGAAAGGTGAATCGACATGCACAGATATAAACGTGATGTAGGTATGCCTACGTGATGTTTTTCGTGTCTCCATGCAAACGTGCTGCCACGCGTGACTACAAACAGACGTTTATAAATATGATTATGTCGTTGTCACTCATTCATCAACGCGTATAATCCTACATGCGTCCTGTCACGCCTGTCTTCAAACAGACGTTTATAAATATGATTATTTATCATATTTATATGGATAAGAATAGAGACATAGATCGATAGACATGCGTGACGTTGTCACTCGTTCATCTACGCCTAGGTGTTGGCACTCGTGTGTGTCTACATGTGTGCTACCATTCGTGTCTCCATGCAAACGTGGTGTCACGCGTGTCTCCATGTAAATGTAGTGTCATGCGTGTCTTCAAACAGACGTTTATCAATATTGTTATTCGTAATATTTATATTTATAAGGATAGAGAGAGCGAGCGAGTATAGTTTTACTCCGCTTTTAGCAATATTCCATCAATATCACGGCGGGGGACACCAGAAATGGGCTTCACACATTGTACCCGTGTGGGCATTCGAACCCGGGTCTTCGGCGTGACGAGCGAACGCTTTAACCACTGGGCTACCCGCCCGCCCCGGATAGAGAGAGATCGGTAGACATACGTGGTGTTTTACTCGTGTCTCCATGCGAACGTGATGCCACTCGTGTACACATACCATCTTGGGTGGGGAGATGACCCCTCGAAAACGCACTTGCCGCCATCTTGGAGGCGCACGCTTCCCGGAAACGAAAATGACGCCATCTTGGATGCGCGCGCCACCGGCAACGAAAGTGCCGCCATTTTGGATGCGCGCGCAAGCTGAATAGCGACTCGTGCCGCTCGCGTGTCTGTTTATGCTACCGGGTTCCGTCTTAGCGCAAACGGGCATACCCAAAACAATTGTAAACTCGTTGCGTAATGGTTCACATATATTTCCCCATATATTTTATATATTTCAGATGCAATTCAAATCACATCGGGACATACGGAATTATACAGAATGATTGAACACATTTATCTGTGTCTTGGGTATATTTTTAGATGCAAGACATATGTTAAATCAAAACTTATTCCTGAGGGATTCTTTGATGAAGAACTTGAAGTCTGATCGGTTTGTTGTATTTTCGCTCATAACATTCATATATTGGGGGACGAGTCTTCTTGCAGGTTACGGAAAGAGGCGAGATATGACGAATGCACGGAAGCGAGAGATAGACGATAATTTTGACGGAATCAGTCGTACGGGCCGTAACTGACGTTCGGAATAACGTTTTCGAGGTTTTCGACTACAAAATACATTCTGACTGTCACTTTCATGATCTGGTAAGCGACGCTTTGATTGGTCGGATGAAAGGTCGTTCTGACGTGTGGGATGTCATCAGATCTTTGTTTAGCGATAGCGAATACTATGATCTTATTTTATTGAGATTGATTACGATGGATAATGTTTTGTACTTTCCAGTATTGCGACTGGCAACCATATTGTATTTCCGATTCTCTTGAACTAACTTGGTACTTCATAAAGTGACTATCTCACCCACCACGTTTCAGACCAATGGTCATACAATGTTTTGAGGATAATTTTTACTGAAAGAACTATCAAAAATGGCTGGTTTCATATAGAAATCCCATTGTTCGTGCCTCGAATACACTTGAAACTCTTTATGGCAGCAAACACCCACTGAGTCCACTGAGTCCATGAAGCCAACCAGCACCTGAAGTTCACAAGATCGGTTCTACAATTGTACAGTTTGTGTATCGTAGTTGTTCCTCCAGACACATGTCCTGTTCGGATTCACCTATGAAAAGACATGTCGACAACGCCCGACCCACCAGTGGCGATTCTAATTTACCCACCATCATTACTTAGCTTGCAAGTGTGTACGGACAGTGGAATACGTTGTATGCACTTTTCAACAACCCATGCTTGTCGTAAGAGGCGACCGGCGGGAGTGATGGTCAGCTTCGCTGACTTAGTTGACGAAAGCAATCTTACCCAATAGCACAGACCAGTGCTTATGGTTTTAATTACTGGTATAAACAAACAAACAAACAAGCTCACAACCAAATACACAAACATATTTCTGGGCACATCACTCCTTTTAAATCAGTAAACAGAACTGATTGATACTGACTTGAGCTGTGTCCTGTGTGATGCAGATCCGTGTGAAAACTTCACAGAATTTGACAACATCGAGTCTCGACACCCCACAACGACAGGAAATTCACTCACCATCGATGACAGAAATCTGTCCACTGGGCGGTATGCAGCCCCAAGGAAATTGAAGCTGCTCAGCCGGTACCCTGGAAATGGCAGCATGTGTGGAAACTCAAGCCCGCTTTACAGAATGAGTAAGCCATGTGGTTGCATGGTGTGATGGTGTGTGACAACATAGTGGTGTGGTAACATGGTGTGGTGGTGTGTGGTAGCATAGAGTGGCATGATGTGACGGTGTGTGACAACATAGTGGTGTGGTTACATGATGTGGTGGTGTGTGGTAGCTCAGAGTGACATGGTGTGACGGTGTGTGACAACATAGTGGTGTGGTTAGAATATGTGGTGGAATGAGTAAGCCATGTGGTTGCATGGTGTGTCGGTGTTTGACAGCACAGTGGTGCGGTTACATGGTGTGGTGGTGTGTGGTAGCATAGAGTGACATGGTGTGACGGTATGTGACAACATAGTGGTGTGATTACATGATGTGGTGGTGTGTGATTGAATAGGATGACGTGGTTACATAGTGGGGAAGTGTGTTAGTGTGTGCTGTTGTGTTGTGATATGTGTTGATGTGTGTTAGTTGTGTTGATGTGTTCTGATGTGTGTTGATGTGTGTTAGTTTGTTTTGATGTATGTTTAAGTGTGGTGATTGGTGGTGATGTGTTGTGATGTTTGGTGATATATGTTGATGTGTGTTGATGAGTAGTGATGCGATGTCTTGTGCTGTGATGTGTGTTGATTGTTTAGTGACGTTTGGCGGTGTGTGGTGATGTATTGTGTTGTGATGTGTGTTGATTGTTTAGTGACGTTTGTCGGTGTGTGCTGATGTATTGTGTTGTGATGTGTGTTAGTCTGTGTTTATGTGTGAGATATATGTTGATGTGTTCTGATGTGTTGATGTGTGTAAGTTTGTGTTGATGTATGTTGACGTGTGTTGATGTGTGTGGATGTGTTGTGATGTGTCGTGATGCGTTGTGATGTGTTGCGATATGTTTTGTAGTATGCTGATATGTGGTGATGTGTAGTGTCGTGAGGTAATGTGTTATGATGCTTTGTGATCTGTGTTGATGTGTGTTACGTTCTTGTGAATGGCGGTTATGTGTGTTGATGTGTTGTTTTGCGATGTGTGTTGAAGTGTGTTAGGTTGTTGTGAATGGTGGTTATTTGTGGTGATGTGTTGTTTTGCGATGTTTGCGATTAGTTTATGTTGATGTGTGTCGATGTACAGTAATGTATTGTGTTGTGTTGTGAAATATGGTGATGTGTTGGGATGTGTGTTGATGTGTGAAGATGTGTGTTGATTAATGGATATGTGTGGTGATGTGTAGTGATGGGTAGTGATTTGTTGTGTTGTGTGTTAATGTGTGTTGATGCGGTGTAGTGTGTTGATGTCTGTTGATATGTGGGTGTGGTGTGTGGTAATATGTGTTGGTTGGTGTTGATGTGTTTGTTGGACTGCATAAGTTTGTGTTGATGTGGTGTAGTGTGTTGATGTCTGTTGAAATGTGGGTGTGGTGTGTGGTGTGTGGTAATATGTGTTGGTTGGTGTTGATGTGTTTGTTGGACTGCGTAAGTTTGTGTTGATGCGGTGTAGTGTGTTGATGTCTGTTGATATGTGGGGGTGATGTGTGGTAATATGTGTTGGTTGGTGTTGATGTGTTTGTTGGACTGTGTTAGTTTGTGTTGATGCGGTGTAGTGTGTTGATGTCTGTTGATATGTGGGGGTGATGTGTGGTAATATGTGTTGGTTGGTGTTGATGTGTTTGTTGGACTGTGTAAGTTTGTGTCTATGCGGTGTAGTGTGTTGATGTCTGTTGATATGTGGGGGTGATGTGTGGTAATATGTGTTGGTTGGTGTTGATGTGTTTGTTGGACTGTGTTAGTTTGTGTTGATGCGGTGTAGTGTGTTGATGTCTGTTGATATGTGGGGGTGATGTGTGGTAATATGTGTTGGTTGGTGTTGATGTGTTTGTTGGACTGTGTTAGTTTGTGTTGATGCGGTGTAGTGTGTTGATGTCTGTTGATATGTGGGTGTGGTGTGTGGTAATATGTGTTGGTTGGTGTTGATGTGTTTGTTGGACTGTGTTAGTTTGTGTTGATGCGGTGAAGTGTGTTGATGTCTGTTGATATGTGGGTGTGGTGTGTGGTAATATGTGTTGGTTGGTGTTGATGTGTTTGTTTGACTGTGTTAGTTTGTGTTGATGCGGTGTAGTGTGTTGATGTCTGTTGATATGTGGGGGTGATGTGTGGTAATATGTGTTGGTTAGTGTTGATGTGTTTGTTGGACTGTGTTAGTTTGTGTTGATGCGGTGAAGTGTGTTGATGTCTGTTGATATGTGGGTGTGGTGTGTGGTAATATGTGTTGGTTGGTGTTGATGTGTTTGTTGGACTGTGTTAGTTTGTGTTGATGCGGTGTAGTGTGTTGATGTCTGTTGATATGTGGGTGTGGTGTGTGGTAATATGTGTTGGTTGGTGTTGATGTGTTTGTTGGACTGTGTTAGTTTGTGTTGATGCGGTGTAGTGTGTTTATGTGTTTGTTGGACTGTGTTAGTTTGTGTTGATGCGGTGTAGTGTGTTGATGTGTTTGTTGGACTGTGTTAGTTTGTGTTGATGCGGTGTAGTGTGTTGATGTGTTTGTTAGACTGTGTTAGTTTGTGTTGATGCGGTGTAGTGTGTTGATGTCTGTTGATATGTGGGGGTGATGTGTGGTAATATGTGTTGGTTGGTGTTGATGTGTTTGTTGGACTGTGTTAGTTTGTGTTGATGCGGTGTAGTGTGTTGATGTCTGTTGATATGTGGGTGTGGTGTGTGGTAATATGTGTTGGTTGGTGTTGATGTGTTTGTTGGACTGTGTTAGTTTGTGTTGATGCGGTGAAGAGTGTTGATGTCTGTTGATATGTGGGTGTGGTGTGTGGTAATATGTGTTGGTTGGTGTTGATGTGTTTGTTGGACTGTGTTAGTTTGTGTTGATGCGGTGTAGTGTGTTGATGTCTGTTGATATGTGGATGTGGTGTGTGGTAATATGTGTTGGTTGGTGTTGATGTGTTTGTTGGACTGTGTTAGTTTGTGTTGATGCGGTGAAGTGTGTTGATGTCTGTTGATATGTGGGTGTGGTGTGTGGTAATATGTGTTGGTTGGTGTTGATGTGTTTGTTGGACTGTGTTAGTTTGTGTTGATGCGGTGTAGTGTGTTGCTGTCTGTTGATATGTGGGTGTGGTGTGTGGTAATATGTGTTGGTTGGTGTTGATGTGTTTGTTGGACTGTGTTAGTTTGTGTTGATGCGGTGTAGTGTGTTTATGTGTTTGTTGGACTGTGTTAGTTTGTGTTGATGCGGTGTAGTGTGTTGATGTGTTTGTTGGACTGTGTTAGTTTGTGTTGATGCGGTGAAGTGTGTTGATGTCTGTTGATATGTGGGTGTGGTGTGTGGTAATATGTGTTGGTTGGTGTTGATGTGTTTGTTGGACTGTGTTAGTTTGTGTTGATGCGGTGTAGTGTGTTGATGTCTGTTGATATGTGGGTGTGGTGTGTGGTAATATGTGTTGGTTGGTGTTGATGTGTTTGTTGGACTGTGTTAGTTTGTGTTGATGCGGTGTAGTGTGTTTATGTGTTTGTTGGACTGTGTTAGTTTGTGTTGATGCGGTGAAGTGTGTTGATGTGTTTGTTGGACTGTGTTAGTTTGTGTTGATGCGGTGTAGTGTGTTGATGTGTTTGTTGGACTGTGTTAGTTTGTTTTGATGCGGTGTAGTGTGTTGATGTGTTTGTTGGACTGTGTTAGTTTGTGTTGATGCGGTGTAGTGTGTTGATGTGTTTGTTAGACTGTGTTAGTTTGTGTTGATGCGGTGTAGTGTGTTGATGTCTGTTGATATGTGGGGGTGATGTGTGGTAATATGTGTTGGTTGGTGTTGATGTGTTTGTTGGACTGTGTTAGTTTGTGTTGATGCGGTGTAGTGTGTTGATGTCTGTTGATATGTGGGTGTGGTGTGTGGTAATATGTGTTGGTTGGTGTTGATGTGTTTGTTGGACTGTGTTAGTTTGTGTTGATGCGGTGAAGAGTGTTGATGTCTGTTGATATGTGGGTGTGGTGTGTGGTAATATGTGTTGGTTGGTGTTGATGTGTTTGTTGGACTGTGTTAGTTTGTGTTGATGCGGTGTAGTGTGTTGATGTCTGTTGATATGTGGGTGTGGTGTGTGGTAATATGTGTTGGTTGGTGTTGATGTGTTTGTTGGACTGTGTTAGTTTGTGTTGATGCGGTGAAGTGTGTTGATGTCTGTTGATATGTGGGTGTGGTGTGTGGTAATATGTGTTGGTTGGTGTTGATGTGTTTGTTGGACTGTGTTAGTTTGTGTTGATGCGGTGTAGTGTGTTTATGTGTTTGTTGGACTGTGTTAGTTTGTGTTGATGCGGTGTAGTGTGTTGATGTGTTTGTTGGACTGTGTTAGTTTGTGTTGATGCGGTGAAGTGTGTTGATGTCTGTTGATATGTGGGTGTGGTGTGTGGTAATATGTGTTGGTTGGTGTTGATGTGTTTGTTGGACTGTGTTAGTTTGTGTTGATGCGGTGTAGTGTGTTGATGTCTGTTGATATGTGGGTGTGGTGTGTGGTAATATGTGTTGGTTGGTGTTGATGTGTTTGTTGGACTGTGTTAGTTTGTGTTGATGCGGTGTAGTGTGTTTATGTGTTTGTTGGACTGTGTTAGTTTGTGTTGATGCGGTGAAGTGTGTTGATGTGTTGTGTATGTGTTGATGTATGATATGTGTGTTGATGTGTGTGATGTGTGATGAAGTGTGCGATATGTGTTGATGTGTTGTGTATGTGTTGATGTATGATATGTGTGTTGATGTGTGTGATGTGTGATGAAGTGTGCGATATGTGTTGATGTGTTGTGTATGTGTTGATGTATGATATGCGTGTTGATGTGTGTTGATGTGTGATGAAGTGTGCGATATGTGTTGATGTGTTGTGTATGTGTTGATGTATGATATGTGTGTTGATGTGTGTTGATGTGTGATGAAGTGTGCGATATGTGTTGATGTGTTGTGTATGTGTTGATGTATGATATGCGTGTTGA